CCGCTCCCCCCCGCATCAAACAGCACAAAAGCACCTGGTTGCAAGCAACTATCGCACCAGCACAGACATAAAATTGAGAAGAGGAAAAACTTAACAGCAGGCCCCTTGGATCCCGAGCAGATGCTGGTCCTGGTGACGCCACAACTGGGACCCTGCACCCGGTTTGGGCCATGAGGGATGGGGGGAGCTGGAGGGGGTCAGGGGAGGCTGATGGGGTGGTGACACCCTGGGCACTGCCTGCAAGGGACAGTGGAGATCTGGTTTGGAGAGTCTACTCTGGTCTGGTCTAGTTTCGACAGTCTAGTTTGGTCTAGTTTCGTTTCAGCCAAATAGTTAATTAACATTTCTTCCAAAAGGAACGAGGCTCTGAATGCACCAAAGGTACCAAGTACTTGATTTGAGGCAAGTCCCGCTGAAGGCAACAACCTCAAAGGAGAGCAGGACTCATCTTACCTCCTCGAGCTTTTCCACCCGACCCACCAGCTTGGTCGTGACTGAGTGCAGCTTCAGAAGGTCCAAGCCATAAAAGGCACTTTCCAGCATCTCGACGATGGAGGACAGCTGCAAGGCAAAGGGAGCACACCGTCAGTCAGAGGCGCTTGCTATAAAGTACCCTGCGTGGTTTCTACAGCCAAAAAGTCAAGGGCAATGCACATATCTGAGCACAAAAAGTTTATTAAAACACAAGTTTTTCCTTACACAGCCCTGCCACATTGCTGCTGCAGTCAGGAGCACAGCATGCAGTTTCAGGGGTTCAGGAGCATGTTTTGGGTGCTGGGGATTAGTAAGGAGAGCAAGGAGAAGCACTGCCCTCCTTGCCAGCTCTAGGCAGGCTCTCTCACAAGCCCAAAGGCTTAGCTACCCCACCGGTGACGTGGCTGGCAACAACAGAGGCAACAAGCAAACGGCAGCTCAAATAAAAGCGAGTTTGACATCAGACTCTGAGATCATGCCATCCCGCGCTTTTTTTTCCTGGAACAAGAAGAAACTTGTTAAAAAAATTTAAAATGTTCACAAACGCAAGAGCGAAGTAACTGAAATTCAGTGCCAGCCTGCTAACAGTTTGCTTCCCTGGAGAATAAGTTTAGAGGGATGTTGCCTTCTCCTTCAGTCACCCATTTCAGAGATGCCCTGTACTTAACTCCTGCCCGCAGCGGGAAGTGTTGCGTCCCCGCATCCTGCCCAACAGCCCCTGCTCACCGATCCTGGGCATCCAGCCAGCAATACCCTTGTTCTGCATTTCATAGGGTCCCCGGTGCTCACTCCGCAGAGGACGGCACCAAGCCAGGCACGGGCTGGCGGGGAGAGCTCCTAGGCCATCCCCTGCCTCCGCTCCCACACATGCCTGCTCCCTCCAGTCCCACATGTCCCCACGTGCACAGCGTGGTACTGCAGACCTTACAGCGCTGACAGCTGAGAAGTATTTTCAATGCATGGGAATTACTACAAGGCAGTGACATTTTCTCCCAGCAGCTACAAACTGGTCAACGGAGCTCCATAAACATGGGAGAAGTACAGGCAGCACTGCTGGCAGCACTCTTGAGTTTCCACCCCAGCCTCTGCAGTCTCCCTGTGGAGCTGACAGCAAAGGAAAGACTTTTTGAGCCAGATAAAATGGCAGCATTAAGAGACAAGGACTGTTTTATGGCTATGCATCCACTTTCCACCGAGAACTGGACGGAGACGACTGACACAATGCACGCAACCTGCCAGACAGCCACTGGAGACATGTGCTTTCCCTCCAGGCTGGATAATTTCCACCAATGCACAAAGGCTGCAGACTTTATTAACCACCTTCCAAATCTTCCTGAACACAGACTCCTTGCACAGCCTCTGCATCTGAGACCCCCAAAACGCATGCCACGCCTACAAGCAGAGGAGCAGCAAACTGCAATTTCACAAAAATAGATCTTAGAGTCAGCTACCCCTGCCAACACCAAGCTGACGCTCCCCAAAGCGCCATACTGATGCACATGTCAACTCACTCTTTCCATCCCTTCACCCACTGCAGACTTTGGCTCTCACTGTCTGATGGCCCATGCGACCTTATTAAAGCCACAGATGGGACTGAAATCTTCAGCTGCCGACACCCAGCGCAACCGTTTGGCACTGTGTTGGGGTGCCCCAGGGATACCCCTGCTCCCTGGGCTTACCTATTCTCTTCCTCACCATTCCCTTGGGGACGGATCCTCCAGCCCACCCATCGGGGCTCTCGTTTTGGGGAACTTCTCACGGCTCTGCCACAGAGTACCCAGGGTTTTTGAGTCAGAGCGTAAGAAATCCTGTTAAAACCCAACAGACATAGAGCACAACTATGCACATCCTGCTGCTGACCAGGCAAGAACCATGCTCATCAGACCAGCAAGGAGAGTAAAACCCCTGGGGCTGTTTGGAGCAATGAGGTGGCCTGGCCTGTCCCTCCTGGCCCCCCACTGAAGAGCATGGGAGCTGCTCCTCATGAGTCACTGGAGACTGTGTCCTCTCCTGCCTCCCGGCCTCTCCTATGCAAGGTTGCTGTTCCCACCGTGCGCAGCTCCAGGAGGGACTCTGCGGTCGGCGAGAAAGCAAGCCTGTTTTCACAGCTCCCGGGGTTTGACTTTTGCAGCAAAGAAAAACCCCACGTGTGTATATTTGGATAAACCTTGTGAAATCGTTTGGCTGCAGATCCTTGCGAAACGAGCGGGGGAGCCTGGGCCAGTTCCTAGAGGACAAGCTTTCACACCACAGCTGGCTGTGAGCAGCTCCCCGGTGGGAAGAGGCAGCCGGAGCCAAGGGTGCAGCTTGCCACGCCGCTCTGCTCCTCCTGGAGGCTGACCGGCTCCGGAGAGGATGCGGAGAGAGGTGCGAGCTGCTGGTGGAGGAGCTCTGCCTGCCGCTGGGTCAGAGACTTCAGGGGTCACTCTGTCACCCCAGAGGGTGTCCCCTCCCCTAACCGCAGCTCCTCATCTAGGGCCAAGTGGGGCATCCTGGCTTCTCCTGCAGGTAAGGGACCACCAAACAA